ACTCCCGGACTTGATTTGTCACGGTATTTAATCTAGTTTTCGGCTATGACTCTCCCGCATGTCGTCGCCAATCTCGCCCTCTTGTCTTCTCCCTGGAGTGCTCTCGGCACAAGTAAATAGTTCCCAAATAAAAATAATGAATAATGATCCGAAATCCCATCCACACAGCTATTATAATAAAATACTGTTTCGTTTTAATTAATTCATCAAACTGATAGCACAAGTTTCAGGTGAGAAAGACCTTTCACCTGCGCTAGTCGGAGTACACAACAGTATAGAACTTGAAAGCGTTAAATTAAAACTTCATCCACCTCCAATCAAATGATAGTAGCTACTATGCCACTACAGGATGCTAAATAAACTAAGCATTAAAATAGGTAGTAGTCAAGGAGAAAGTTCTCTTACTACATGGGCTAATCCCATTCCAAAAGACTGCTACATTGCCACAGAGACAGACTGCACACCATTACTACAACACTGTATCCGATCACGCACATATGGCTTCACTCCAGCAGCACGGCGATAAGGCTCAGCTGAAATAAAATGCCGAAACAATTCACACGAAGGTCACCCAAGTCACTCTGCCCTAGTGGCAGAATCCCAGGCAAGCCGAGTAGCCAATCCCCTTTTTAACCCAAAGATACCCCTGCCATATGGCCTCTAGAGGGCAAGGACAGACTCCCCCAAACTCTCCAGTGCACTTCCATAAGGATCGTCACCATACACGTGTCACCTCCAGACTTCATGCCCAGCGGGCATACATCCAGAGAACTAGCACATGGACAAAGTACCGCAACCCTCAAGACATCACGCCTACCGGCAGCGAAACATATACCAACCTGACCACACTGGATATCTCGTCATGAATTATTTTTGGCATGTCCGTACCAAATTGGGAAAATATCCCAAACTCACCTAATGCGTGCACAGGCTCATCCTTCTAGTATGTCTCCCTTGACTCAATTTTACCTTGAATATTGTGTGTGTTGGTCACATTAAAGGCTGTCACTGCTGTATGCCCGTCCCCACCGAGAAACACAGCAATTAATCTTGGTACCGGAATTCATATTTGACTTCAGACTGCCATATTTTGACCACAATACATACATGTAGGAATGCGTTTGACACACACATACATGTAAACCAGGAATCCAATTATCCACCAGGACACATTCCTGTATCCATTACCTAAATTTAAAAAAGAATCAATATAGTTATTCAATTAGGCTTATAACATTAAAGGCATACATGCCCTATTTCGTGTCGTAGCAGTAGGGATGCAAAGGACTAAAAACGAAAGCTCTTCTTCCTTCTACATGATTTAGATGCCACAACTTGCTTAACTAGATTCACTGCAGACTGCACAATATCAAGTTTTTGTACGTCTGGCGGTTGTCTAACAGATCTCAAGCTAAATCCATACATATTAGGTGGACGACGTGTTCGGGTAGACCTCCTCAAAGGTCTTGCATTTCGCTCCGGCTCCGAGTCCGTTGTACTCCCATCACTGTCCGACTGACTTATAACCTTATGACCATCAGAATGTTCTGTTGCGCTCCTCTGAGATCCTCCGCAAACAATCCCATCAGAAGACACCTCAATGTTAGAGTCTAGCTTTATCGTTTCGACCGGTACTGGAGATTCTACCTCCAAACTAGTTTCTTCCAGCTCAGATTTAATGCTTTCTCGAGATGACGCACTTACGTCTTTGAACAAATCCGCTTTTGCCGCTTGGTCAGGATATTTAGGTAAGCATTTGCGTGGCTCAAAAGCTGGCCTTGAAGGGTTCAATACAACGTATCCATCTTCACCATCGCTATCCCCACTATCCTCATCGGCATCGCCAATCTCTGCCACCGCTGGGTGTGTCTTCCTCTCAGTTACGATCTGTTTTCTTATCCTATCTGGCCTTGTTGCCTCTACCGAGCTTGGGACTGATGGGTCAAGACACGGCTTCAGCAAATTACGATGTAAAGTGCGTGTCTTACCATTCTGTTCGTTCCTAACCATGTATACCGGCACATCATGGTTCAATTTGCGAACAACGCGATATGGACTTTGTTCCCATCTGTCCGCGATCTTTATTTTTCCTCTCAGACTCACATTTTTAACAAGTACACGCTCACCAGCTTTCAAGAGGGCATCTCGCACACATTGGTCGAAACGTACTTTACCTGGTTCTTCTGAGCAAATTAGGAAGCTAATTTATGTGCATATTCCATGCGCTCATGCAAATCATCTACATATTTAGATGTTGATCCTGGTGCTCTATCTTCCGGTCTGATACCAAATCGCACATCCATCGCGGTCCTTGCTTCACGACCAAACAGAAGTTAGTACGGCGAATAACCTGTTGCATCATGGCATGTGCAGTTGTACGCATGGACCAACGGTGCCACATAAGCTTTCCAATCTTTCTTCTGATCGTTCTTCAAAGTACCAAGCATGTTTAATATGGTTCTATTGAACCGTTCACATTGACCGTTTCTTTGCGGATGATAGGGTGACGTGCGGGACTACCAGTGAAGGCACATAATTCTTTGATGACCTGGGACTCAAAGTTACGCCCCTGGTCAGAGTGCAAGCGCTCCGGAAATCCGTAATGCACCATGAACCCCTCATATAAATGCTTAGCTGTAGTTTTCGCTGTTTGATTTCTTGTCGGTATCGCACAGCGTATTTAGTGAAATGGTCCGTGAGGACTAAGACATCTTTTATGCCACCTTTGGACTCTTCTAAAGTCAGAAAGTCCATAGCCACTAGTTCCATCGGTTGACTGGTAGTCATGTTTACCAATGGTGCTCTGGTCTGTGCATCAGCAGTGTCTTTCCTCCTGGTGCATCGCTCACACGTACGAATATGCTGCTTCATATCAGCCGCCATCAAAGGCCAATAAAAGCGTGCTCTTAACAGATCAAGTGCTGTCTTGGCCGAGGTGTCCGGTGTGGTCATGCAATCATGGCTTCCTTTTGATACCTATGTGGTAACACCAATTGATAATATTTTCTCCCATTAATTCCCACACGAATTCGATATAGCACATGCTTCTGAAAACACAGTCGGTCCCATTCTTTCGGGGCGATCCGTACTTCCATATTCTCTCGTTGCTTCTCATGCTTGGTTGGCAGTGACCCAATATTCTTGTAGTACCTGAGTCGCCGAATAGAAGGGTCCTCCTCTTGTAGACATACCCACTCTTCCATCGTTATTGCAGGAAACGCAGTTTCCTCTGGAATCACAGGTGGCTCATAAAGCTGTTGAGGTATAGCGTTAGCAGTTGCTGCAATTGCCTCTACCCAAGGAATTTCTTTTTGCTCATGTTGCTGACCAACCGCTCGTATCTGGTCAGGACCCATGTATGTTCGTCCTTCGAACCTGTTGTTCGTCTGGTCGGGTATCCGGTATTCTGCATGTGGTCTTCGAGACAAGCCGTCTGCGACCGCATCTGCGTTGAACTTTCCGGGTCGGTAACGAATACTGAGATCATAGTTCGACAGAGCCGCCCACCATCTCTCCCGCAGCGTCTAATTTAGCTGTAGTGCTAACGTATGTTAGTGGATTGTTGTCAGTTAAGACATCAACGTGGTTACCATAACAGTAGTGGTTGAACTTTTCAGTAACCGCCCACTTGAGCGCAAGAAATTCTAACTTGTGGGCCGGATAGTTTTTCTCGCTTTTTGTCAGGCCCCGACTCGCATAAGCAACTGGTCTCAACACATGTTTCCCATTCAGAACACTAGTTTGGTACAGTGCCGCTCCCAATCCGAGTGTACTCGCATCTGTGTGTAACTCAAACAGCCTTTGATAATCAGGATATGCTAGCACAGGAGGTGTTGTCAATTTATTGATGACTGTCACAAAAGCACGTTGGCATTCATCAGTCCAGATAAAAGGAGGCACTTTCACTTTCGCACTTCGTTGTTTACCTTGTTTCGATGGCTGACCTGCCGTCAGATCATTTAATGGTCTAACAATCGCTGAGTAACCCAGGACGTATCGCCTAGAGTAGCCGGCAAACCCTAGTAGAGTTCTCAGCTCTCGAACATTAGTAGATACAGGCCAAGTCCGCAGAGCATCTATCTTTTCAGGATATGTTTCTACCCCGTTGTGTGACACAACATGACCTAAGAACTTTACTCTGAATTGGCACTTTATGTGCTTAACTTTCAGGTCGCAGTCTCGCAACCTCCTCAACACCTTCTCTAGTCGTTGCAGATGTTCTTCAAAAGTGTCTGCAAAAATTAAGATATCATCCACATAAGCAAGACATATCTTCGTGTTGTACTCATCCAAGCACTTCTCAACAACATGCTGGCACGTAGCTCCAGTGTTGCGGAAACCGAACGGGACAGCTGCGAACTCGTAGAAACCGAAGGGTGTGGTGAAGGCCG